CATCACAAGGTAATGCTTTAAAATAAAACACATTATTAAAGAAAGCATTAATACCACCACATTCATTATCAAACGAAAAGGTAAAACCTTGTTTGTACAAAGCATGAAAAGAAATAATATTCCTCGCCATTTCAGACGAGTACACACATTTATTCAAATCTAATTTTAACCCATTATTAAGCAACAAAGTATAAACTCCAATCTTGGAAACAGGTGAAGCCTTCCTATTCCCCATGATTAAGTTTATCTTCCCGTGCTCCACATCCTCACTTCTTCTTAGGCCCTGCAAATCAGAACATATGTGAATACCACATCCTGTATCAAGCACCCAAGAGTTAGAATATGTTGAGTAATTAGACAATATAGTGTAAATACCTGCATAGGTGGGTTTCACTTTCCCATCCTTTAGATCCTGCAAGTACTTAGGGCAGTTTCGCTTCCAGTGTGCCTTTTCATGGCAATAAAAGCATTCAGCATCCTTGGGAATGGCAGAAGGAGTGACAGAACCGTTCTTAGTCTTTGATGAGGAGCCTTCAAGAGACTTTCCCTTGGTACCCTTCGAAGGGTGCTTCCTCTTTTTCCCTTTGCCTTGCCCAATAGCTAAAACAGGGGTAGAAGTTGGAGTAGGAGTAGTAGAGGTAACAACCGCTTTACCCTTAAGACCGGTTTCAGCGGTCTTCAAGAGTCCTTGAAGCTTGCTGAGGGTAACTTCCTCCTTGTTCATATGATATGTCATTCGAAAATGATCATAACAAGAAGGCAAGGAGTGCAAAATGATGTCAATTGCCAACTCCTCGGGGATGTTAACATTCAGCTTCAGCAAACGGTCCACATACCTTTGCATCTTTTGCATGTGGCCCGTGACGGATTCACCGTCCTTCATGCGGGTAGTTATTATGGAGGAGATTATTTCATACCGCTCCTGACGAGCACTCTGATGGTACCTTTCCATCAGGTCTTGGTGCATCTCAAAAGGGTAGAAATCTTCATACGACTTTTGGAGCTCGGCTGTCATCGTGGCCATCATGATACATGCCACCTTAGTAGCATCTCTCTCATGAGTCCTGAATTCAGCGATCTCCTCAGGAGTAGCAGTAGACTCATCAAGTTCTTTTAACTCCTTATCGAGGACATATTCCTTGTCCTCGTAACGAGTAACCATCCTGATGTTCCTAATCCAATCCATGAAGTTGGAACCATCAAAGATGACCCTCCCACAAAGATTCATGAGAGAGAAAGAACCAGTTGGGTTAGAGCCTGAAGCATTAGTGTTGGAAGACATCTGAAAGAAGAAAGTAAGTTTAGATTAGATATTTAGGATCCTTAATAAGACACCCAAATGTAATATTAAGGCTAGGATCCAATCACAATATATTACACTTAGAAGAGGGATGCCGTAATCTAAGTAATAATATATTTGAAAGGTAGGTGAATGACGATTCACCAATTTCCACCATGAAAACGAAATGATTTATTAGGTTTAATTGGATTTGAAATTCCTAGATTCTTTTGAGATTCATTGAACTTTTCAATGGCATGTTTCAATCTCGATTGTGCCCTTCAAGTTTTGTGACTGGGATGCCGAGGATCACAAAACAAGGTGTGAATAACCATGCTAATTCACTTGGTACTCTTAATATTATCACCTAATCAATGTGCCGGTTAACCACACACGCTCCATTGATCTATGACAAACATTAAGTCACCCTTCGTGATCCTTACTAGTCCTAGTTAGTGTGCCGGTTAACCACACACGCTCCACCAACGACTTGGTAAGGTACAAAGTGTGAATTCCATGGACTAGCACCATGTTCACATTTTCCTAAAATAACTAAGATTGGGAATTAAAAGAGTTTAGTTATTTATAATATTCATTATACTTTTAATGAGGATTTAAAGTCATTGTTCTACCCGTTCGGCTAACGACCCTCCACCGATCAAGCAAGCGGTGGGTGAGAGTATACACCCATTAAGTCGCCATTTTATAGGCAACAACCTTATACCCACCTTATAGACCGGCTTCGTGAATGAGGCCTACTAACGGTAAAACGACTTATTCTTATACATATATATAATAATTAACCATTAATGTTATAAATAGTATAAGGGTTGAATTTTAACTATTAAAACTCTAAGGTTTGGAATTAAAGTTTATTAAAGTGTGTGAAACTTTACAAATTCCAAAACTTGAGGGCAAGTTTTGTAACTTTGCAAAACTCTTCATTTCATAACTTATGAATTAAAGGTTCATAAAAATGAAGACTCTTCATTTTCATGTAACTTATGTGTTTTAAGTGTGTGTTAAATGAAAGTGACCTTTGGTAATCCATAACTTGAGGACAAATTATGGACTCCATTAAAACACATAAATGATAAAGAATTAATCCTAAACAATTCAGCAAATAATTCCTATCATTTTCTAAATTCATAAGAACATGAACATGATCATCAAAAATTCAAGAATTATATGAACACATAAAATCATGGAATTTTGATATATGCTATTGTAAATGGATTAGAACAACCATTACACCAACTAAAATAAGTTTTATAACACCAAAACAATTTAGGGTAATGTTTCTAGTCCATTTCCAGCAGCAAAAGTCGAGAATCTGCACTCTTTCGATCCTACTCGTCGAGTGCATGAACTGACTCGTCGAGTAGGTTGAAGTTTGCCTTGGACTCGTCGAGTCCCCCCAATGGACTCGGCGAGTCCACCATGCAGACAGCAACGATTTCGACTTTTTTCACTATTTTGCATCAAGTATCAAACAAGCAAGCCTAGGCTCTGATACCACTGTTGGGTTTTGAGCAATCTAACACTTCCTAAGTGTGCATGCAACCCTAATAAACCTTGGATCTATGTTTGTCTAAATACATGCAAAATAATAATTTTCCAAGGTTTATAACCTATCTAACATGGCATGGGGAACATTTCAACATAAAAGAGTTAGAAGAGATTACATACCTTTTGGTGAGTTTGGTTCTAAGGAGTTTGAGGGCCAAGCACCAATAGTGTGAATGCCTCAAATGGAATCACAAACACCACAAACTCTTGGAAAACTTTGAGAGAGTATACACCTTGTATAAAATCGGCCACACACATGCACACACACACTAGTTCACTAGTTTTCTCTTAGGCTCCATTTCATGCTCCATAAGCATGCTTATATAGTGTGCATGGTTAGGGTGAAACCCTAATAACCCATGTCTTTTCCTTTTCCAAGGATCCATGGGTTAAAAGCTCCATGGATCATCCATGGACTTCCACATAAGCCTAGCCCATTAACAAATGAGTATTAGCCCACACTATATAAAACAAATAGCCCATAATTTAATTAGTATTCCTTTTAATCTCTAAATTAATTCATAATTAATTTAAGACTAAAACTAATTAAATAACGTAACTTCATATTAATATATTATAACTCATAATATATTAATAAACATATGTGTATAACTCTCATAAAATTATCCATAATAGTTTGGATGAGATGCAACCCAAATGGACCATGCCGGTCGGGTCAAGTATATACCAAATAAGTTATGGACTTAGACACCTTATCCAACATTTACAACTTATACTTACGATGGGTTCAAACGTTTTGATAACAACATCGACACTAAAATACTTATGAATTCACCAGCTTAATGCTGAAAAACTCTTTCAAAATAACTTGTATTCTCAGGTCATCAGTAGACAGGTACCGATGCCAACTTTTGAGAAGATGGAGCGCATTCAAGACTCATCATATTATTTTGATTCACATTATATTTTTGGTGTCTAAAACTGTACGGAACACGCTTGTATTAAAATTATATATTTAATGCAATGGATGATGTTGTTTGCTTATTTACATTTACTGTGTTGTGATACGTTACATGACGTCCTCCGCCCCAGAACGTTTCCGCCGTTCTTGGTTTTGGGGTGTGACAAAGTTTGATTTTGATTACAGTCTCGAATGTATTAGTTTCATGTTTGATAGCTGATTCACTTTATTTGATTAATCGATGTGTGAAATTACGGATTTTGGTTTTGATTGCAATCATAAGTCTGATTTTCGATTCACGTTAGTTTTAGGGGTGTATTTTGGTGTTCTTCATCGGAGCTATCAAGAGAAGAGAGGAAGTAAAATAGATTGAAGACGGAAGAAAATGAGACTAGATACTTAGATGTTGGTTGGATTTCAATGTTACTTGATTTGGGGTCTCCAATGTTGCTTGATCTGGGGTAGGATTTTGATGTTCTTCATTGACATCGTCTAGAAAGAGAGGAACAATGGTGCTCATGTCTGCTTTCATTTGCGGTTTGGGTTTTGATTTCCAAATTTGGTTTTGATTTCAGCTTAGGTTTTGATTCACAATTTTAGGGTTTAACTTTGGTTAGGTTTTGATTTCAGAATTTGATCCTGTTGTGGTCTTAATTTCTAGGTTCAAATTTGATTTTTGGGATTTGATCTTGGGGTGACACTTGCTGAATCGATAATGTGGGTTGTGATTTTCCAGAATAGGTAGATAGTAGTGGTGCCGAAAGAAGTGGGTGGTGGATGTCGTTGACTGGTAGTGGTTATCTGTAACTGGTGGTGATTATGGGTAACCGATGGTGGTGGTGGGCATTGGATTAAGGGGAAGTTCTGCATTTCTTGAGAGAGAGAGAGAGAGAGAGAGAGAGAGAGAGAGAGAGAGAGAGAGAGAGAGAGAGGGTGGGACCCATTGCATATTGCATATTATTTATTTATTTATTTAAAAAAAGTAATTGAAAACCTCAAAAATAGTCCCTGAATAGTGAAATGACAAAAATGCTCCTGACTTAACGGTTAAATGGTAACGGAGTTAACTGGAAGAATCAAATGTTAAAAGTTTTGAAACAACTGGGACGATTTGTGAGGTTTTTTAAACTTAGGGACTAAACTTGATATTTTCAAAAACCACAGGGACCATTTTTGAAGTTTTGTCTTACTTTATTTAGCTAAATTTGTTAGTTTGTTTTTAGATAAAGGATTAGAATTAAATCAGCTTTCCTTCTAATCTTATCCAGACGTTAATTTCTGTAGTACTGTCCATGGAAAACCAGAATAATGAAGCAATTAATTTTGGGAGATCACTCATAGTACCAAGTGTTCAAGAACTTGCTAAGCAATCCATCACAAAGATCCCACCTCGTTATGTTCGCCAAGATAATCAGAAACCCTTATTCAAGTCATCCGATGACACCTCCACACTATCTGTACCTGTCATTGATCTTCACACCTTATTTTCAACCGATCCTGGATCTTCGACGTATTCCTCTGAGCTCAATAAGCTTCATACAGCTGCTAAAGAATGGGGTTTCTTCCAGGTATTTGTGGTTAGATTGCAAAATCTTGATAAAATCCAAACCGATCTGCAATAATTTTTGTAAGAAATTTGGTATACTTTATTAAAACAGGTTATCAACCATGGAATAAGTGAATCCCTATTAGAGGATTTCAAGAGGGAAGTCTTGAGCTTCTTTAAGCTTCCGATGGAGGAGAAACAAAAGCTTTGGCAGAAAGAAGACAGCCACGAAGGTTTCGGTCAGCTTTTTGTTGTATCCGAGGAACAGAAGCTTGATTGGTGTGACCTGTTTTACGTAATTACCCTTCCACACAATCTCAGGAAATCCCAACTTTTTCAAAACTTGCCTCCCGTTCTCAGGTTCTTTCTTTTCTCTCGAAATGAAAGCTTCTCATTTACAAGTTTGCATTGTTTGTTATTTGATTGGATATATGTTTTAAAATTGTATAATGATAAAGAGGGGCGTAACCCATATCATCATTTTCTTCTTTTTTTCACCAAAATCGTGTAATATTTCGTGCAAGTGATTTTATCTCCAATCTATTAAGTTAATGGGATTTTATCTACATGTTAAATCTAGGGTACAAAAGTTTTTTTTTTAATACGTTTTAAATATTATTTATTTATTTATTTATCTAGAAAGAAGTTGGAAGCTTACTCGACGGAAATAAAAAAGCTCGCAAAAGGCATCTTGGGTGAAATGGCTAAGGCCTTAGGGATTGAAGGAGAGGAAATGAGTGAATTGTTTGATGATGGGGTTCAGTCGATAAGAATGAATTACTATCCTCCATGTCCGGAACCGGAATCGGCTTTTGGAGTCTCCCCTCATTCCGATGCCGGTGGTTTAACGATTCTCTATCAATTAACCGAAACAGAGGGCCTCCAAGTTCGAAAAGATAGAAAATGGGTTTCGGTTAAACCTCTTCCAAATGCTTTGGTAGTCAACATTGGAGACATAATGGAGGTAACAACTAACAAACACAATTCCTGATTTCAATGACATTGACATAGCAATGTACTATTGTACTATTGTAGATTCGTTACTTTCATTAGGGTTAAACGCAAAATTAGCAATAATCTAACCCAAAACACATAACCGAAAAATTGATTCGTTTTGAGAAACCGATGGTTTTATGAACCCGAAATTATAAAGTCGGGTTGGTTTTATTTTCTAAAACCAAACCAAACTATATCTCAATATGATGTCTTTTCTATAACATATAAACTGTGCCCTAATTTTATGTGTTTACAGATTGTAAGTAATGGCGTGTACAAGAGCATAGAGCATTGTGCAACAGTGCAGTCAACCAAGGATAGGTTATCAGTGGCTACATTCTACACCTCCAATATGGGTTTAGAAGTAGGCCCCGCAAGAAGCCTTGTTGCACAGCATAATGTAGCAAACTATAGGCGTGTCATGTTTGAGGAATATTACAAAAGTTTTTTTGCTCGAAAGCTTGAGGGTAAGTCAAATTTGGAGTTCATGAAACTTTAAGAGTACTTGAATGAAAAAGTTGTATATATCTTTGGTAATTTTGTTTCATGAAATTTAAAACCATGTTAAATAATAACCAAGTTTCATATTTGTTCAACCGATGCGTCTAAGACTCTTTTTAGAATTCTTAGTAATGGAGTTTCATTTCTGTTGCATTTATGTGAAATTGTGTAAACTGTAACTTGCTTGTTTACCTGTTTGATTAATGACTTGACAATGATGATCACTTGAAGTTAGTTTTGTTACCTTTTTTTTTCTATAAAGAGGCAGTATATACTATGTGATTTTTCCAACAAATATAGAAAAATGCAAATTCTTTCTCAAAAATGTTTTTTCTACCATCTGACTTGGCATAATTTATAAATTTATAGTGTCTAAAGCCGAAGCAGTTCTGATAATCCATATTCATTTGAGTTCTTACTTGGTTGGGATTTTTTAGTCAAGGAGCTAGGAGATGTGGTACTCTGCCCATACATATCAACAGCTAATTGCAACACTTTGCCACAATCGTCTTGGACACCTATCCAATTATGTTTTTTTTTTTTTTTTTTTTTTTTTTTCATGTTCTTTCTATTTTAAATAGAGGAACAGAGAAGTTTGACGTTTCTTTTTTTGTTAATAAAATTCAAACTATCATGCTGTATTCTAGTACAAATTGTGACACATGGGACTCTCACCTACTCCATCGCGGTATGGTGGTCGGTATCTTATTCTCGTTCATTAATGACTATTGGTAGGCTTCCGAATAACAAACTCACAGTTAAGGATGGAACAAAAAATAAAGAAGATAAAAGATTAATGTTGTGTAGGAACTAAGATACGGAAATTGTATGAAAATAACAAAATGCATGTGTGATGCTCGTGTTGGACATGGTGTCCTTAAACCAAATTCATCGTTACCAGGTGTTTGTTTTGCAGCCAAAACCTATCTAAGCCTGAATGTTAAGTCGAAATCAGAAAACGCACAAGGTGAATTGGAGAAGAAGAGAGTTCGATTTCATTGGTGTCTAAATTATTACCGGAATGTCTATTTATACAACAAAAAATGTAACAGTTAAGCTACATATAAATATGTTACCAACATTTTGAAGATTGTGTGTAATTACAAATCATAACTAAAATCTGTTGGCAAATTATTTGAGATCAATGTGGCTAGAAGGCATGATAGGCGTGATCTGGTTCATAATTTGATGGTTTGGAGTGGTGTCCATGTAACTTGGTCTGTTGTCCAAGTTGTTCTAGAGTCTTTGAGTAATAAGGAAAGTATAGTTGTCCTGTGATCTGTTTCAGAATTTGATGGCTTGGAGTGGTGTCCAAGTAACTTGGTTTGTTGTCCAAGTTGTTCTAGAGTCTTTGAGTAATAAGGAAAGTATAGTTGTCTTTCTGTTAGGAATCCTAGTTTAATACTAGTAAGCTTGTTTAGTATAAAACCATAGATAGGTTCCTGTAATTAAATCATTAAATCAATTAGGTTTTTAAGATAATTTTCTTTAATAAAAGTACCAAAGAGTTAGGCTACGTTTTTATGTGTTGTTCATGTTTTCTTTAATTGGTATCAGAGCGTAGTGAAGGCTCTGTTGGATTTTTCGTCTGTCACTTTGACAGGTAAGGAGAGAACAAACACCAACCGGTGATGACAGAAAGAGAATTGTGTCAGCCACTAGTGAAGGAATCGACTTCACTGACCTTTCGGTGTTCGACCCTTACGACAACAAATTACACCATTTAGAGGATGCACATGGAGGTGCTACTCGGGATTGATGGTGTATGGGGTGTGATCAATCCTGGACTAGATGACGTGAAGAAGAACAACATCGTGAAAAGATTGTTGTTTCAATCGATTCAGGAAGACTTAATATTCCAAATCGATAATCTAAAAACTTGAAAAGAGATGTTGTATGTGATAAAGACACAAAATCTAGGGGCTGATCGAGTAAAAGGAAGCAAGGCTCCAAACATTGATTATAGAGTTCGAGAACATGAAGATGAACAACACCGGCTCCATAGACGATTTTGATAAATAATAAAAAAAAAACTATCAAAAATCGATTGAAAATGAGTCTCGCTAGGAGAAGTCATGGCAGAACAAAAACTTGTGAAGAAGTTTCTTACAAGCCTTCCTAGGCGATTTGTTCATATTGTAGCAGCTCTTGAACAAGTCTTGGATGTTAAAACGATAGGTTTTAAGGACGTGGTTGGTCGCTTAAAAACTTATGAAGAAAGGATTAAGGGTGAAGATAAAGCATCCAAAACACAAGAAAAGCTACTCTATTCACAAACTAAATTTTCCAACAAAAACACCGAATCATCAAGAGATAGAGGTCGGGGTGCAAGCCATCACGATCGAGGTCATGTCGATGGACGTATTCAGGGTAACACCTAAACTCATAGTTACTCAGAATCCTATAAAACTCATGGATATCAAAAGCAAAAGGGAAAAACATGAGCAAAAAGATCTCGCAAACATCCAATGTCACCGGTATGACAAGTACGGACACTTCGCTTCAAGATGCCCGAATCGAACCAAAATCCACGAGGCAACCCTTACTAAGACATACAAAGGAGATACAAATCATGAAGAAGAAATGTTCTTTATGATGAATGAAATTCAAGAAACTTTGTTCTTGAATGAAGACAAATACATCCCTCCAAAGATTGAATCAAATGCCATAGAAGACGGAGTTTGGTACTTAGACAATGGTGCAAGCAATCAGATGACCGGAAACTATTCTTAATTTTCTGAATTAAATAAGAACATAATGGGATGGGTGAGATTTGTATATGGGTCATGTGTGACAACCCGAAAATCTTTTCCTTGTAAAGTCAAGCCAATCAACCTTAAGTCAGACTCGCTCCTGCTAACTTTTCACTGCTTAGAGTCTGTTTGAGTATTCTAAGCCTAGTACGTCTAAAGAATGAGTGATAGGAAGTACCTGCTAAAGTTCAAAACCAGCAAACAAGCCATAAACCCCTTTTTAAGTAGTTTACGGCCATAAACTCATGGAGGCCGTGAACTCTAGGCCTTAAGGGTGTTGTTCCTTCATCTCTTCCTCATTCTTCACCATTTCAAGTCAAGAACCCGATTTCTCTCTCAAGTGTCATAAGGATCTTCACTTTTTTCTTCAAAAGTGTAAGTGTTTCATTCTTTGATTAGTTTATACATCTCCTTATCTAGCATCATCCATTGATTCCATCCATTAACATCATCTTTTGGTTAGGTCTTCAAGAACACCAAGAACACACACTAGTGTTTTGGTCCAAAATCAACCTTTTTAGCTTCTATATTGTAGGTATTACTTCCCTATACTCGATATCTAGTTGAGACATATGTTAAACACCTTGAAATCATCCATTTCCAAAGAACAAGAGGTGTTTACGGCCAAGAGCTCTCCCTTGGCCGTAAACCCTAGTTAATGATGCATTTGAGTCTTAAACTCTTCCTAAGGCTTGGAATTGAGGCTAGAACACTCCCTTGTGCTGTGTAAGACCTTGAAACACCTTTTCATGCACCTTTTACCATGATTTTATGGCCCTAAACTCCATGGCTGTAAGCCGATGGCCGTAAACACATAATGGTGGTCATGAACCCTCCTTTGATCAATCACATGTGATTTAACACTTCATTTCAAGTGTTTCCTACTCCCTAAAGGTGTTTCCTTGCATAGGATTGCTTCTAAACACTATATTAATGCCAATATATGCCATTATATGTCATTTAGGACTCGTTAGGGTCTCAAGAATTCATTCGTAGAACTTATCATCCTTACACGCATATTCGTTTAAATTACACACATAAGGTGAGTTCATACCCCTATAATCAATCTTTTAAACTGTTTTAAATGCTTTTAAGGGGGGGGGGGGGAATACAAGTTGAAAATAATTGATAATTGTGTAAATGTTTGTTATAAACATCTTTCAAAAGATTGCTTACGTCTTTATAAGTTATTAAAACATTTCAAAAACTCTTTTAAGCATACGTTAATTTAACAAAACTCTGTTTTTAATGTACAAGCATAACTTAGTAGCAAAATGAGTCTTTTCAATAACAGTTCAAGTAAAACACTAGTAAACTATAAGGGGTATAGTTTAGAGGTTCAGTTCATACTAGATACTAGAGCATACTATAAAGAGAAACACGGAGGTAGATACAATACATCAGAGAAGCATACTATAAACTATACATGATAACAAAAAGAACATACTATGATACTATTGTTGGGTTATGAGAATTCTAACACTCCTAAGTGTACATGCAAACCTAAATACCTTGGATCTATGTTTTCTCTATTATACATGCAAATATGAACATCCAAGGTATTATCCTAATCTAGCATACAAAACTATCAATATAACAAGATAGAATACATACCTCTTTGATGTAGAATGTCTTCATGAAGCTTGAGTGCCTAGTGCCCCAAGTGTGACACCTCAAATGGTTCACACAACACCAAATACACTTGGAATAACTTGAGAGAATTCTACACTTCATGAAATCGGCTAGCCCTCTCTAGAATAATAACTAGTACCCGATTTTGTCAAGAATAAGATCTTTATATAGTGTTACAATTAGGGCAAACCCTAATTGTCATGACTTTCCATTTCCTTGGATCCATGGGTTCAAATACACCATGCAGCATCCATGGAGCATCATATGGGTTTTGGCCCAACTAGATAATCCATGGAGCATTAGCCCACTATACAAGTATGGATGATTTACACAATCAACCCATATATTTAATTAGTCTTCTTTTGATCACTTAATTAATCCTAGATTAATTCTTGATCAATACTAATTAAATAATCTTATTATTCTTATTATTAATATACTAGAACTTATAATATATTAATAACCATAAGTGTCTTATTTCTCTCATTATAGTCTATCCAAGTGCATGATGCCATGCAACCCAAATGGACCATGCCGGGTCGGGTCAAGTCTTACCAATTATAGTTATGGACTTAGACATTAATCCAACAGTCTCCCACTTGGATAAGTCTAAAACTATTATTGCGTATGACTTCAGGAACCAACTGGCAATCGTAGCTCTCAAAAGCTTCTGTCGAACTCTGACCTTGTAGATGAACCTTGACCTTTGTCAATGACTTGTCCATTAGATAAGGGATCATATATTCCTCCATTCTAGATATCATATGGACTGAGACATGGATTATAATCATTCTCTCTGTCCATTTGTTGTTTCCCGATTTCCGATTTATGACGACTGACTAATTGAACAAATCAAATCAGTCCTGGCCCGGCCGAGCACTTCCATTTGTCATCATCAAATCATCGAGGGGCCCACAGATATCGCTTTTATCCCGAAGGTAAAAGGAATGGATAAACTTCGACTCATATGGCTTGTTCTACTACTTGTTGAATCATACACAAAGGCACGTTTTATAGCACCGAGTTACCAATGCGTTTCGTGCAATCAATGTACAACCAACTCATAGTAACAACTCATATCTCTAGGTTTGAAGAATATAAGATATTATCGTCTCATGATCACTCGTGATAAAATCCATGAAGTGATTCCAATGAGCGCGGGTTGAATCCAATACTCAGAACTTATGAGCACTCATGAGTGTTGTAGCCCTTTGTCCAACACTTAGACCTCTACAAGCCAACCCATGACAGTCTTAATTCATATCTACTTCCAACATATGACCGACTGTGGATGGTTTGAATAACTTAGTCATTCCGGAAGAATAACCTAGTTTATTCGGGAAGTCAAAACATGCAAAGTGAAACACAATAATAATTGAATCCAATATGGTATCAAAACCTATGAACATAAATAAAACACCTTTTATTTATCACCATATGATTACACATTATTCATTGTATACTGTTTCAGCTATCAACTTTATTCTTGAATTTAAAACAATAGTTGTCCCATGCTCCAAGCATGTACACTATGTTTTCTAAACACTAGTCATGCCATACACCAAGTATGCATACTATGTTTGTCTATGATCTTTACTTTGTGAACTAGATCAATTGAACATAACTTCAATGATTCTCTTTTCACACTCCCAAATCCTTACTAAATGCAAGAATTCCAAATTCATGTCATTTACTGAAATCTGTTAGATTCTAAACTTATATGCATTGATCCTCTTGTAATGATTATGCACAAAGTCAGAAAGACTTGAAACAATCATTACAGAGTATTCCAAAGGAGATCAACTCCTTGGAAACATCCTTCTTGCATTAAGTTTCCTTAATCTTACACAGATTGAAAATTCTAACTTTGAAACATTTCCAGATTCCATTTTGACTATCACTTCTGAACAAGAGTTGCCTCCTTACAGATTATGTCAATATGGTCCTTCCAGAATTATCACTATACTTCCAATTGTCCTTGAGAAACCAATCTTTGGTAAACCTTAGATTGTCCTCGACAATTGTTTAATCCTTTTAGTCATATCCAGTTCTAAACCTTTTCCCTTCTTAATGCCCCAGGCATTTGGAAATTTTAGAAAGGATGAATATAGCACATGTAATCGATCCTATATCCGAAGCATATGGGACACGATTCATGATGTCTCACATAAAGACTAAACCAGTCTTTTGCTATAACATTTCCATTTCTATTTGCCAAGTTCTCATAATTCAGATTATGAAAAGGGATGCCGTAATCATAATCGAATTTAAGAACGCAAATAATGGACCCATATACAGAATTTCCTTATGTTGAGCCATTCCAACATGAAATTCATATATATTTCCTTGACTAAATGATTAAAACCTCACGATC